GCCCGACCGGATGCGGCAAGACGAGCCTTCTCATGGTGCTTCTCGGCGAGATGCACTTTGCGCCGCTCAGATCCGGCGCACAAGTTAGCCTTTACCGCTCTGGCGGTGTCGCGTACGCTACGCAGGAGAGCTGCGTCATGAGTGGCACTATTCGGGATAACATCCTGTTCAGGGCGGAGTACGACGAGGCGCGGTACAAGAAAGGTCAACATCCATATCGTCTAGCGGCTCCCCGCTTATTGCTGACATCCCCTTGCGCTCTCGCAGTGATCTATCAGTGCGCCCTCAAGCGCGACCTCACGCTCTTCCCCGCTAGCGACCGCACCGAAGTGGGCGAGAAAGGCCAGACGCTCAGCGGCGGGCAGAAGGCAAGGATAACACTGGCACGCGCGATCTACTCCTCAGCGGATGTGTTGCTGTTGGACGATGTACTCGCAGCGCTGGACGTGCATACGGCCAAGTGGATCGTTGGGAAGTGTTTGAAGGGAGAGTTGGTCAGAGGGAGGACTGTGCTGCTCGTTGTAGGTTCCTTTTCTCTATACTTTATACATACGACTCAAGATGCTGATTGCATAAACAGACGCAGAACGTTGCGCTTGTAGGTCCTATCGCGGCATTCGTCGTCGCGTTCGGCGCCGGCGGCGAGATTGTGGCGCGTGGTTCCCACGCCGAAGTATTGTCCAAGAACTCTGCGCTCGTGGCCGACCAGGCTGTCATCTCGGAGGAGGCTGAGGAGAGTGATGATATCGAGAATGAGGAGGAGCCCGAGACGGAGTACGTGGCGGATGGGAAGCTTGTCGTCGAGGAGGTAGTGGCGAAGGGGCACATATCAACGGGCGCTTGTGAGTCCCTTGTTCGCTTCATGTCGGTTGAGCGCTTCTGAACGCATCCGCAGTGATGCTCTTCTGGACCTCCCTCGGCGGCGACCATCCGGTCCTGTTTTGGTCTAACTTTGTCATCGGCATGCTTGCGTACCGTGTACTGGCGAACCTTCAGGTACGTCGTCTATTCCTCTGCACAAACTTAGCCGCTGACGTGCTTCCAGCCGTTCTGGATGGGTCGCTGGGCCGACGCATACGCTGTACCTGGCCCCGTAAGCGTCACATTGTGAGTCCCATCTACCCTCGCTACGCCTCAGTATAGCTGATTGGCCGCAATAGTTACCTGGGCGTCTTCCTTCTCCTCGTGCTCGGCACCGTTCTCACGTTCATGGGCGCTAACGCCACGCTCATGTTCGGCGTTCTTCGCGCGGCGAGGAATATTCACGCTCAGCTGATGGACGCTATCCTTGGCACTACCCTACGCTGGGTCGACTCTACGCCCTCTTCCCGTATTATCACGCGCTGTACCAAGGACATAAAGGCCATTGATGGGCAGCTCGCCTTCCAGTTCAAGTGGCTCGGTACGTCCATTCACGCTCATAATGCTAGATCAACATTTTACTCGTGTCATGCAGTCAGTGTCAGCGCCCAGCTCATTGTCCAGCTCGTTGCCATCGTACTCGTCGCGCCCGCGATGCTCTTACCCGGTCTCGTCATTCTGGCTCTCGGCGCCTGGGTCGGCAACGTGTACATGAAGGCCCAATTACCGGTCAAGAGAGAAATGAGCAATAAGAAGGCGCCCGTTCTCGGTCACTTCAGCGCTGCTGTCGCTGGCTTGGGTACGTCACACCATCTCATTGCGTTGGGAGTCATGTACTGACTATATGTGTAGTATCTATTCGTGCATACGGTGCACAGGAGGCTTTCCGGCACGAGTCGTACAGGCGTATTGACGAGTACACGCGCGTTGGCAGAACACTGTACAACTTGAGCTGCTGGGTCAGTTTGCGCAGCGATACCCTTGGTGCTCTCCTGTCTTCCACACTGGGCGCATACATGGTTTACGGTCCCGGCGCTGCGACGATCGGCGCGTCGAACGCGGGCTTCGCGCTTGCTATGGCCGGTCTGTCCACATGTCCACGGAACAGTGCGGCTATACTGACTCGCCCTGTCAGCCGCTTTCAGCCAGTTGATCTTGTGGCTCGTCCGCGTGTACAACGACTTCGAGGTCGAGGGCAACAGCCTCGAGCGCATACAGGCATACCTGGAGATCGAGCAGGAGCCGAAGCCCACGATCGAGTGCCAACCTCCCGCGTCCTGGCCCTCGAGTGGCGAGCTCCACGTTGAGAACTTGTCCGCGCGCTACTCTCCCGACGGACCCAAGGTATTGCACGGCCTAAACTTCAGCGTGAAGTCTGGCGAGCGTGTCGGGATCGTCGGGCGGACGGGAAGCGGCAAGAGCTCTTTGACGCTCTCTCTTCTACGGTGCATCTTCACCGGTGGTAGTGTACGATACGACGGTGTTGATACGGCCAGTCTCAATCTCGACGAGCTGCGCGCCAAGATCACGATCATACCACAAGTGCCACAGCTCCTGAGCGGCACGTTACGCGAGAACCTGGACCCGTTCGGCGAGTACGACGATGCGGTTCTTAACTCGGCTTTGCGCGCTTCCGGCTTGCTCTCGTTGCAGAGCGAGGGCGACGAAAACCGCATCACCCTCGACGCGCAGGTTGCGAGCGGGGGAGGGAACTTGAGTGTCGGTCAGCGCCAGATCTTGGCGCTTGCTCGAGCGCTTGTCCGTGGTAGCAAGGTGCTCATCCTGGATGAGGCGACCTCTTCGATCGACTATCAGACAGACGCTATCATCCAGTCGTCTCTGCGCAAGGAGCTGGGTAACGACGTGACTCTGCTCACGGTCGCGCATCGTCTGCATACTATCATGGACGCGGACAAGATTGTACGTCATACTCTCCCGACACTCTTTGCATGCACTTGCTGAATTTGCTGTAGATGGTACTTGATGCTGGGCGTATCGTCGAGTTCGATCATCCGCGGGTATTGCTCGAGAAAACGGGAGGCTACTTTAGGTCATTGGTGGATGAGAGTAGGGACAGGGACGCGTTGTATGCGATTACAGGTAGCAAGGCTTGACTACCCCTTTCAAAGTAATAGTAGTCTCTATCGTCCAACTATGACCACCTCAACTTGAGTACACACGTTACCGTTCCTTCGCCGTTCCGAGCACCGACGCGCGGATCGAACTTGTCCACAACCATGATCATGAGCGGGCGCATCCATCTCCACGCTGTATATAGACCGACGTCTATCGGCTTCTCGAGTTATGAATAAGAAAGCCTCTTCTTCTTACTAAGCTCGGCCGTCGAGCTGGCGTCTTGAATCGTCATCCTACAAGCTGCCAGCTTTCAGCAAGACCATCATGACAACATCCGCGCCGCTCGAGTTCTACGATCTCGTCCCGCAGCCCGGCGGACCGTTCTTCTCGCCCGCCACCACGCGCGCCCGACTCGCGCTCTTGCACAAGGGTGTCCCCTTCAAGGTCACGGAACTCACGTATAAGGATCTTCGAACCGGGCCGTACCGCGACCTCGCTGGCGCCGGCGATGATGGCGTCGTGACCGTGCCGTTCATCAAGCGCCCGGACGGCACGTACTTGCGCGATAGCCTGGCCATCATGCGCTGGCTCGATGAAGCATATCCGGAGAAGCCATCCGTGGTTGCACCCGGTGACGCTCGCTCGGAGGAGTACGCCAAGGTGTACGACGAGTTTCTTGCATTTCGGCGTGAAATCTCCGATGAGGAGACGTGGACTGCGCATTGGACGCTGTATTGCGTTCCCGTATGCGAGATGTTTGACAAGACCGGCGAAGATAATGTGCCTCCTAATTCGAATGACATGCTATCTACATACTGATCGCTTCCCGCAGGACTTCGAGTACTGGACATTTGCTGCACGGCTTGGAGAAGGGACATACGACAGCTGTGTGGCTACGTACAATGAACCTGCTTCGAAGGCGAGTTTAATCGGAAGCGTCAACGTCGGCATGGTCGACAAGCTCGACGCGATCCTGGAGAAGCAGAAGTGGCTTCAGGGAGAGGATGGGCCGGGCATCAAGGACTTCCATGCTATGGGCATCGTACGGTGAGTACACGTTTTCTACCTCTCGCGATCTCCAGCACTTCGATCTACACATCACTTTACCTCGGATTAGTCTCAAGCTCATTGCTGATACCCTGATAGTATGGCCGCAGCCACCTCTCGCGCCAACTACGATGCTACGTTCGGACGCACCACACCAGGACACACTGCTCAATGGGTAGAGCGCATCAATGAGCGGTACGCGCGTGGAGAGCGTCCAGGCGTAGGTATGGAAGAAGTGGTAGTGCGCGACGCACGATGAGTCGAGAACGCTGGCCATTAGCATCGGAAAGAACCCGCTCATTGAGGAGTACTGTGATTGTAATCATTAGTAATCAGGGCACAGCCCAACTTTATGCGCTCAGGTGAACTCTCGCGAGTATAAGCCCATACCGATACGTTACGAGTCTTGGAAAGTCAAAAACCAGATCCTCGGACGCGGTACGGAAAGCCCGCGTATGGCGCCTCGCATTCCATCCTGCAATGATTTCGTGGCGGTGCTGGCCACTCACGGTCAAGATGCATAGTAAAGCAGGCCCGCGAGATCTTCCTACGGCGATCCGAGCTGCTATAGGCGCTCAGCTTCGGATGTCACGCTTACGATGCACGTTGAGTGGTCTACACTGAAAACTTTTGGCATCTTCCACTGAGTCCGCGCTCTCTCTTCCGTTTCGACTTGATGCATAGCATTGGCATATTCATATTGGTTGATATACATACAATATAGTTCACGGTGAAGGTAGGTAGGGTTTAAAGCATATGCATCACGCGAAATCGGAGGATGGGTTGAAAGGGTTGAAGAAAGTGCATAGTGTGGCATGGTAATGGGTGTAAGAAGTTCAAGAAGCGAGATAGTATTTGGTCTTCAGGCCGTATTCCAAAGCACTAGAGGATAGTGCGAAACTTGACATCTACCGCGAGTTGCCGTGGCGTTCGTACTCATACTCACGGGGACTCTCGTGTATGTTGGGGAGAGAGGCCGAGGGATGTCCGCTGCGCCTCTGGTTGGGCGAACCCGACCCAGACTGCGAGTGTGAGTTTGAGTGATTAGCAGGGCCAGAGTGCTGTCCAGAGCCAGAGCCAGAGCCGGTGTTAGTGAATGTGGAGATGCTAGCGTGCCCGCTTCCTTGTCCGCTACCGCTACCACTGCCGTTGCTGTGCGGTGGGCTGGCCTGTTGAAGGTTCTGACCCCAGAACTGGTTGTTCTGTGTCGTAGCGTAGCTTGAGCCAGAATCATGTTGTCCGCTGCCAAACGCTGTGAAGCCCGAGAATGAAGAGCCAGAAGAGCCATGCGCGTGAGAGCTGGGAGCCGCATATCCTGACGCTCGAGCTTGCCGGTAAGCCTGAGTACTCGGGCCAGGGCCAGCAGCAGCAGCAGGCGGTACGTGATGGCCTGCCGAGCCACCTTGTGCTTGATGCGCGGGCGTTACATGTCCAGTGTACTGGTCCTGGGGCTGCGGATGGGCTGAAGGATGACCGCCGTACGGGGCTGGACCGCCCTGAGTGTGAGCAGACAACGCATGTGGCGTACTGGAACCACGGGCGGTATTGGACCGATCCCTACGGCGTCGACCGTGCTGGAACCAGTGTGAGTATGAATCATATCGCTGCCAAAGACACCGGAGCACTTACGATGAGATCTGAAGTACGATGTCCCATTGATGAATGTCGCAGTCTGGAGTGTAGCGTGAAGTGTGGTGAGAGAGTACTGGAGAGGGGAGAGCTGAGAAGCTGAGATCGAGGATACCATGCTTATATACTGACAGAACGAGTCAGCACAGAAGGCGGCTGGGAGAAGTAGCCGTAGTTGAAAGAGAATGGCTTCGGGTAACACGGCCAATACCAACAAAAGGGCAGCTTGAGGACGAAAACAAGTACGACAACTACGCTATGAGCCGCAGAGCCTTTCTTCCAGCATCACCACTGAGAAGAATCAATGCGGGTCCGTCTCGTGTAGTCAGGAGTGAGGTCGAATACAAGGGTTGTTCCCTGAGGCCGCTACAACTTCGACTACAAGTCCCAGGACTACTGCCCGCGTGATATCGGTCTAAAGGTCGTGCTTCCCGGCTGAAGGGGGTTCAGTCGACATGAGGAGTGGGTAGTAATTGTCCCTCCTTGTTGGCAAGGCGCCGGCAGTGCAGCAATTCTGTAAGCTCATCGGAGTTGGGAACAAGGTGCGCTAGCCGAGAAACCCGTGTGAGCGTGAGCGTGATTGTTCGTTCGCCTCATATAAGTGTGGCGTCGCGTCAGAACTAACGTCCTGACGGCCACCATCCCGACTCTGACTACTTGCAAATTATACGCAATGCTCTCACTGAATGAGCTACGTGCTAAAATTACGGAGTACTGCACGAACTCGCGTCTGGTCGGCCCGCACTGCGTCGTCGACACCGTCTCCTTTCAACCTTGCTACGGTAAAGACAACGAAGATCGCTTCGTTACTCAGACTTGGGAGGTACATGGTCACAAGTGGCTCTTCCTTGCTGTTTTAGACGGTCAGTGTCAGACCGCAATGCTCTTCTCCAGGGGTACTCATACGTCAGCATCCATAGGGCATGGAGGTTCGGCTACTTCCGACTATGCTGCCATGGTTCTGCCTGATCGCATTCGCTCTGCTCTCTCCGTGAAACTCAAGGAGAACTTTGAGGGTGATATCGAGAAGGGCTCGTTGCTTACCCAGAGCGTAGGCAGCATGCTACGTAATGAGATCAAGGCTTTCGACGTTGGTCTTGGTCAATCATTCACTGATGTATTCCCTCATCCGCGACACTCCTTGTCGGAAGACGACATCCGACGTATCATTGACGAGAACAAGGAGGCTGCCCTGCGCGCTTACTACGGAAGTACTCTGGTGGGCGCTCTGGTTCTCTTGGACTTGAAACACATGTGGCACTTCGGATTGGGAGATTCCAGTATCCGTATGTCCGCTCCCGTCTTTCATGTTGATGTCTATGAATGTAATCTTGGCGCGTAGTTATCTCTACTGTGGTGGACCGTGATCCAGTGAGTCTGCCCAGGTATAAGCTGCTCAACACGCTCCACTCTCTCTCCACACCCAAGGAGTATCTGGCGGAGAAGCTTCGACACCCGTCTGACGAGGACTTCATCGTGAATGGACGCCTGTTGGGCGGTACCCCAATCACTCGTGGTACGTAGAATGGTGCCTACAACGACTATCACGTCTACTATTATTCAATACTCTCACTCTAGCATTAGGGGACTATCACTACAAGCTTTCTGCACGTTACGTGCAACATATCTTCCGCCATTTGGCCTGCCCTTCGGAGAACTTTGACTTCTCGGGGAAACGCAACAAGACTCCTCCCTACATAAGGAACGATCCG